CAGGACAAAAACAATATATGCCCGGGATCTATCGATCCGGGCGCATAAAAAATATTGCCACAGTTGGATAGTTTACATCAGTATATGCATCAGCATATGAACTTTGATAAAATATCTAGAAAATAATTTCTTTGAGCTCGATGGAAAGACAGATGGAAGGGTGGAGGACGGACATGACAAAAACTAATACATGTATTCCTAATCATGGCGTAGCATAAAAAACTTGAATATACATTATATGAGGATGTTTCCATATCAAGATTATACATGCAAATTCAAAGAATTGTGGTCCTTTGCTTTCTGTGTTTAAGTGAATGGGATGCCATAATTTATGGCAGATTGTGTATCAAATATGCATCCCTATCATATGTCACTTTATGAAAATTAGGTCAAAGGGGGGAAATCATCGCATGCTCGAAATATTTTGTTGCAGGTAAAGTACATGTCAAATATGAAAGACCCATCTCTTTTCAATCAAAAGTTATGTATATATATATATATATATAAATATATAATATAATATTTTTGAAAAGTAGGTTAAACTTCTAGGTCAAGATCAGAAAGTCAAAAGTCATGATATATTTAGAAAAGTCTTTTCACATGTAATATACATGTATAATTTAAATGCCATATCTTTTCTCTTTCAAAATGATTAATTTAAAATGTTATTTTTTGGAAAGTAGGTAAAATTTTGAGGTCAAGGTCTCACTTGGGTTAAAAAATCATAGTACATTTAGAAAGTTTTGTGGTAATGTACATGTGAAATATGAAAGCCCTATCTCATATTATTCAAAAGTTATGATCAAGGTTAAATTTATTGTGACGGATGCACATACTGTCAAAGATGGCCAGACTGACAGACAAATAAGATTTAATGTTCCCTCCCTTTCCCCCAAAACGGGGGACAATAATGCCCTTGCTGTTCTTGAGAAGAAGATTTATGATGGAAAAAATCCCCTGCATATTTCTTAACGCAAATCAATATTGTGTTTTTATGTCATTTAATTGTTTGTTTGTTGTTAAACATCCCTCTCAGGAATTTTTCACTCAAATGGAGACACCCCCACTTGAAAAATAATGAGGACAAGTCGGATTTGAGGTCAACATTCATTTTAGGAGTTTTCAACCATTAAGACGTAAAGAGACAGGAACTCGATCCTTACCCTCACCCCATCCCAGACCCCTGTTTATATTCATGACATGTATGCAAACTACTGCTTGTTTTACATTTTTAAAAAAATATGTTAATAGCCTATATACAAATACTTTAATGTGGTCCATCTCTTTGAATGATTTTCATTCCTAATTCTAGGAGGATAGGTTAATGAATGAAATGTCAAGCAATCTTATCATTGATGCACTTTTATTCCATTTAATGCAGTCATATTGTGAACATTTCCAGTTATAATCATTAGGAGAGTGGGGATGACCTCCAGGGGGTTCAAAACCTTTATACCATTAAATTTACATAACATAATAACACAAAAAGCGCAAAATTATGTATGGTCAAATGGAAAAAGTTTCCCACTATTTAGGAGTCACATGATCAATTGCCATTACTGTTTACAGGGACTGGAAGTGTATCTTGAGATCCCCCCCCCCCCGAATTTGCAGGACTATAATATAAAAAAGACTTTGGATGCCCTCTACCCTAGAAAACAGACACCACCATAACTTCTCCTTTTATTTGCTTCTCAGGAAATTCTGGTCTGGAAGTCCCCCCTCCCTCTCAGAAGAAAATTCTGTATTTTGTAACTGAATGTAACGTGGATAACGGGCGATAACTTTTTAGAATGTGAAATTCGTCTTATTGCAGCATCGGATGACATTTGATCCTTTAAACTTTAACCTAACCAGTTACATTTCAGACTATTTTACCCAAATCTATACCAAAACGTGTACTTACCGACTGCCATAGCTCCAACTTCATGAAATATAATCCAATTAAACACAAAATAATTCCAACTAACATACATGCAATGATGTGTACACAACACTACGCCTAGTACTGCACGTGCAGTGCTATAGATCTAAAAATGATAATGGTAAAACTAGTACTTAAGTTAGGTACAAGACGCAAGCCCAATGTGATGCAAGTCTTCAGATACATTTACAGTATAAGAACAAATTTAAAATTATTATTTACAAAAGATGTTTTATCTTAACTTTGCCATCTAGGCCTATTTCCAAAAACAGGAAAATAGGGTGTGTTTGCGTGTGTGTGTTGATGGGAGAAGGGTGGGGGTTGACTAAATTGATTGGGTATACATGGTATATGGCAGCTTTCAAGGTGTTTCTGCCTAATCGAGTATAAAAAAGTTTGTACATTTTGGAAAAAATCATCAAAAACGCTTTAAACTAATTTGAATAATATTTGTTGTTGATCTATATGAGAAAATAGATTTAAAGCCATATATGGCTTAATTGATCAAAAAAAAAAAAATTCTGAAAATTACAAACACAGTAAAGAAATATAGTTAATAAGTTTAAATTAAAACTGTTCATACAATTCTGAACACGGAGAACACCTCGTTTCATCTAATAATACGATTTTATCTTCTGTAATGTGTTGTTTAAATCTTTTGTATTTTCTTCCGAGTCGGAGAAAATTCCGAGAATCCAAATTAAATTGTGATATCTTTATAACGCAATTGACTTAGATTTTGTAATTTACGGAAAAGTTCTATCTTTATATAAAGTAATGATACAAATAATAAGTTCTTATACTTTTAGTCTAATAATTTTCACTGTACATACGACATATATGGCTTTAAAAAGTTCCAATTATGGGTCAAAAATTTAACCCCCCCTTGTTTCAAACCTAATTTACATCATTAATTGAATTCTGTTGTTTAATTTCAGACTGGTAATGAATTATGAATATGAAATACATGTACCTATAAGATCGAGACCCATGGGTCACATGTTCACTTGAGAATATTATGCTCAATTTGATGAGTACATGGAGGCCCTATTATGTAAATTATTAAATTATATTGACTTTTTCTTTGGTAAAGCCTAATTTTAGAGGAGTGTGCATTTAGAGGCAAACACCTTAGTGCGGGTATTACTGTCTCATGACAGCATCTAGTTTTTGAAATGAATCGATCTTGCTATATTTTTTATGCCTTCAATACCATTGGCTAATTTTGAACAAAAAATATTAAAAGTAAATGGTAAGTGTGTTGAATTCATATTACAAACGAATAAAAAAACTGCACTTTCAAAGTATTTTTTTCATCCTTCTTCTCAAGTGTATTTGTATATGAATGTTACAGTGTAGTTAGAGTGAAACGGATAACAAAATGACTTCTGCAAGCAGGACTTATGCTAATGTGCACATGAATTTTATAGGAAACCTGTATGGTGTGTAAGAGATAGAGGATAAAAAAAGAAAGTAGAAGAAATTTGTAAATGGGGACAGGTTGAGGGAAAGACGTGCATGAGGCCGGGGTTGGAAAGATAAAAATGGGAATTTTATTCTACAAAGATATATAACTTCAATTTTCAAATCCTTTTTGAAATGATACCTGTTACATAATTTTATTCAAATTTTATCCAAAAAGATAACACTCTACATGTACATATGTACGTAAAGTTTGATATGTATGTTTCACCCTATGACTTACCCTTAAAGTCTGTAAAAGGTAAAATCACTAACGTCTCCGGTTAAATGTATATTAAAATTATGTACTTAAATGATCTATCTAAGGTATGTTTAATCAGATAAGTGTGACGCCACAACGGAAACAAACTCCCCAACAATATATGCATACACTTTGCCCATTCAGTTTAAAATTATCTCTTATTTTTGATTTTTGAAACACCTTTTCTTGTTAAATATTAAAAATACCTATTCAGAAAGTAAAAGAGAAGACTAGCGAAAATTCAAAAATTGTCTTACTTATAGATATTGTGATTTTAATGCCAATATCAGTATAGAGTTACCATTCCCCCCAACCCCCCAACCCCACCCCCTGCTTCTACTTCTTATACATACACGTCAAATTAATCACAGAGGCATCTAAAATTATGTATTGTATACGTATATTGCTTCATTTAATTATGAATACTTTTAATAATTTGTTTGATATCAGGTGATCAGTGCTCATAAAAATAAATTGAAATGATTTTTTTTATTTATATTCGGCAGAGAAGTTCTAGTAGTATATCATATTTTTAAAAAACTTACAAACAGAACAAACCTGTGATGATTCTTTATTATATTCAGGTATTGATTAATCAGTGACAAGAGAAATCAATAGAATGTTTGGCTATTAAAGTAATTAAACAAAACGTTTGTGCAAAGGAGCTGGATCTTGACTTTTTCCGTTTTATATCTAAGTAAAGTTGAGCACTTGCAGAATGAACATACTTGTACATATACGAAACAAATGTTAAAAAAAGGACAATGGCTAGTGTTTTGTCTTTAAGTGAATGTTACTTTCTTTTTCACTGGGGGAGAGGGGGGTTGCTTTCCCATTAGTAAATCTGCTATTTCATGTAAACACTATTAGTTAAAAAAAACCTACTTATATAAAGGGCGAACTTAAATAATGGGTCTTTTCATTTCAAAGTTTTAGTCGTTGTATGATAGATTTTAATAAAAACATATGACTCTTTCTGTGATAATCAACTTCGAATGCAGTCACGGAATGCTGATTTATTTAATGACAATGGAACACTTCGAACAATCAAAGATAAATTGCTACAGGAAGAAAAAATATAATTAAAATAGTTTGTGACTTCCTGTCAGTTTAAATTCCAAATTTTCAACTGCTTCCTGGATATGAGTTTATAGATATAAGATCAATATGTGTTTATTTCATGATGTGTTAAAATTTTTTGGACTACTTTTAATATTTTCTTCTTGCTTTATTATAGGTAAAACAATCTGTATCTTAAACAGGTAAGAATAAATTTACACTTTTAACTTTTAAAAGGGTAACACTATTACAAACACAAGAAATATATAGAAATGTTGAATGACATTCATATGCATGACACCATGTGTAAGTTTGCTACATTCAAAGAAGGAATGCTTTTTACATGAAAATGTTTAACAATACATTTTTTCATATATAGTATATATTTAATTATCTCATATAAACTTAAATTAAAAAGACCTTTCTATTTGTTTTGCTAATCTATATAAAGACGGGGCTTTCCTGTAAATTACACAATTGAGATTAATCGCATTAACGTTTCATAAATATCAGAGATTTAGAACAATAACTGATTTATTTCCGACTAGGATTGAAATATCAGACACAGTTTAAAGTCAACTTAGCCATTGAAGGGTTGGCATATTTAATGATGAAAATTAGTGAAAGTCTCAAATTGAACGTAGATATTATACAATGTAAACCTCCAGTTATTCTAATATTTTTTTTTATTGTTTAGCTCAGATATCCAATATATAGCTTAAGCAGAGTAACCAAGGGGAACTAAATCACAGTGCCCTCCTAGGATCTAATTGCATATACAATGGTTCTATCTCAAAGATTCAAAGACGATTGCTATTTTCAATTTCAAATATTCTTCTTTTCAGAAATGTGACAGGTTCTTTATGTTGTACTAATTATGACAGAGACAGGAACGGGGATTGTAACGGTAAGGTTTTCCTATGTACATGTACTGTAAAGCAGAAAGTTCCCTTGGAGATTAAATTTTGTTGATTTTGTTGCTTGAAAATATAAGGGAAATGAAAGCCAACAGGAAATTGTGGTCTGACTATATGTTGAATAGCGTTACTTTTGAACCAAAAAAAAAATGCCAACAAAATCATTTAAGATACCAAGCCAACGAAATTTTATCCCTTTGAAACTTTTATTTTTCTGTATATGCAAACATTTTATTCAGATTGTTTCTTTTTATAATGTTTCTTCTTATATTTTTTTAACACAGAAATTTACCAAGTAAATGTGATTTCGTAAAGTTATTTGCCCCGTGGGGATCCGGGATAGAATAGGTCCTAAGTACCCCCTTGCTTGTCGTAAACGGCAACTAAATGGGGCTGTCCTTCGAATGAGACAGTATAAACCGAGGCCCCGTGTCACAGCAGGTGTGGCACGATAATAATCCCTCCCTGCTCAAGGGCCGTAGGTTCTGAACATAGGCCTGAATTTGCAGCCGATCACCGGCAATGGTGACGTCTCCATATCAGTGAAATATTCTGGAGAGAGACGTTAAACAGTATACAATCAATCAATCAATCAATCGTAAAGTGATTTTGTAGAATTAGATTACAAATCAGATTTTTTAAAAGTTTTATTACTGAATTCATTGTAATAGATATTGTTGGACTATTATCAATTATCAAATAATTATTAAGTAAGTCACAATGGTAATCTTTACGCTCTATGCATTTATGCTATCACCATAACCTCCATCGTTATCTTTACCAATTCTCCTGCATTTACAACGCTTTGAACGCTTGTTCTAGAGTCGAAGAATGATCGGAGAGTTCATCCAATTTCATAGGTTAAGATCTACTGTGTAACGATATATATTATTCTTTGATAATACCGTAGAAACCAATGTTTCCTATCGTAGGTGTGGCTTAAAAAGGAAATTCCGTTACTTCTCAAAAGCCATAATTACCAAGTACAGGTCTAAATTTGTAGTATTCCGCCGACAAGTGGTTGTTTCATTTTCCCAGAAACTTTTAATAAACAACGCATTTTCTATATGGGTCATTTTCAAAAAAGGTCCATTTTTCGAATGACATATTTTTGAAAATTGAAAGTGGTTTTACTATGATTTTTTCAACTTTATTTGAATAATTTAGTAATAAACTCATAAAATCCACTGTATTGCATAAAAGAAAATATTTCTTTTAAAAAATATTGACATTTTATCTTAGTCATTTAAATTTTATTGTCCTTCCTGTTACTTTCATAAAAAGAGCTGTAAAATTCTATTTCAAATTTTTTATCAAATAATCTTTTGTACATCGTTTAAAAATGAAAAATATATCATTGAATGCCAAGATGTTTGACATTCATCTAATATATGAGCGTTTAAAAGCATGTCAAACTACCATACACCAAACAGAAGAAAATTTATGGGCTTTTCTTCATGAAAAGCCTTATTGCTGAATATTTATATGCTATAGTTGAAATAAACATTCTTGTACATTATTTTTGTGATTAGAATAAACAGTTACAGAAAGTTATTTAAACAGGTGCTCTGCCAAAGCAATTATAACTAGGAAAATATACTGGTAACAGTAAGGACTCGGGTAACAGAAAGGACAAATCAGTAAAAGGATGGACAAAACAGTGTAACAGGATGGACAATGAAATCTACATTTTAAATAAAAATGGATTTTTTAAACTTTATTGGTTAGGAAAAGAGAAATAAATGTAGAATAAAACTAGAGCCGAGCTCGTTGCAAAGCAACGAGTAGGTCTTCCGTCCTGTTTGACAGGAAGTAACTTTCATTTAAAAAAAAGAGTAATGAGAGTCCAAAAATGGGTTAATCCTCCAAATCTATGTAAAAGTATTGCAAAATTAAGCCATTCTTTGATACTTCCGGTTTGGCCGGAAGTGAGGACGACGGATGAAAAATTAATATCTAAGCTTCTAGTGACACATGTTACCCAAAAACCTGTCAAAAACGGCAAAAATATGCATTTTCTGACTACTTCCGATTCGACCGGACGTGACGTCGCCGGACATATTTTGACGACCCCATTAGATAAAGCTTGATATTCTCAATACTTTTTGAGATATCTGGAAAAAACTTTTGGTCCCTCTAGGTCCCTTAATTTAAGGGTCAGCCCTTTTTACTACATATCATTTGAAAGATCTTCTAATTCTGCACAAATTATGTTCTATATTTTTTCGCAAACTATTTTTAGTTTAGAAGATAAAAAGAAAAATATGAATAATTTTTGGTTCTTTTAAGCGTTCTAATTTTTTACCCCTACATAGCGCCATTTTGAATAAAGAAATCGAAAATCAAAAACCGATGTGCACAACTTCAATCCTTCTATTATCTAAATTCAGTAGAATTTCAGCTCCAGCTCTAGCCGTCTCTGAGCCTTTGTCTGGAAACGAAAGCCTATAAATTTTCCTTTAAAGGGAAATAACTCAAAACCGGAAGTGGCTTTTTGAAATTTTTGACAGCATTCTGTTAGAATTTATTAACGTCTATAACGTCTGAAAATTTGAGCGAAATACGTTGAGAAATGAGCGAGATATGAGGCCTCAAAGTTGCGGTCTAGGAAGCAGAAGAAAAAAAAGAAGAATAACTAGATGAAACTCGTTGCGAGCAACGAGAGGTCTTCCGTCCGATTCAGGAGAAAAAAAACGTAAAATCGAGCTGAAAAGTAAAAAAAAAAAGATTTGCACACAAGGGGGATTGAACCAAAGTCGCCACATGAAATTCCAATGCACTAAATATTACGCTATCGGGACCTCTACTCTTAATCTACTTGTATAGTAGAAACAGTGCTTCTCTCTTAAAATTATGAAAGGTGGGTCACTATTCAAATTTTAGCGCCAAACGCCACGAATTAATCTTCGCCCCCTTTTCTTTGGAATGTTCTATTAAATAGGTGTGATAGCTTCAATGAAATTAATAAAAAGAACGTTCTTATAGCCTAAGATTCGAAGTTTAGAAAGTATGTTTAACACATTTTACAATTTCCATATTGTATATATGCATGTAACACTAAAGCGGTGAAACGGATATGATGTTTTTTTCAATTTCCTGTTTATCCTCAAAGTGAAATATCCCAAATAGTTAATCGAAAAAGGTTGAAAAGTTTCGCCGGAAAACATGGCTCGCCCTACGACTGTCAGGAATCCGATATCATTTATGCTCAATAACTTGAATCAGGTCTTTAAAACAAGAATGCTAAAATAAACTCCATGAAGCGATCTTTAAAAAAAATCGTTTTCTTATTTTTGTCTAATTTATTAGTTTAATATGACACAAGTGTGCATAGGAAAAACAGTGGTTAATATTTATACTGACAAAATTAATTGATATTCTTTTTTGAGAAAGTATTACTTATAAGTATGATTTAAGATCTGTTTTTCGGCGATGCACAAGAGATATTAGGTATCGAATTTCATTTGCACATTTAGTCTTTTCTTTTTCTTCTTTGAAAACCAGCCAAAACCAATTATAGAAGACGTTAGTTTGACACAGAACTGCAACGTAAATACGACGTGACAATCCATGTATTCCTTTGTCTTTCATTTATTCTTATGTTACTTTCGTTCAAGCAAACGCTCGGCTGCCTCCGTAAACACCTATTGCGAAATGTCGGCGTTGACAGAGACAGCCGCCATTTTGGACCCGCTTCAGATTTTTGAATGCTAATATCTAGAGTTTAGATTTATCAACATTCAAACAAATTGTATAGTAAGCATTACGAGGAGGGTTTCTATTAACATACCAAAAATAAATGAAAAATACTGAAAAACAAAAAAGTTGGAAAATACGATATTTTTAATTTGCATCTCGTAACGACCGGAAGTATTGACAACGCACGGGAAGGTAATTCTGCAAACCACAAAGTGACAAACTTTTGTCTCCAATAAGTCTCCAGATCATATCTTTAGCCATTTTCGAGAAAAAGGGGCAACAAAATTGCATTTTAAAATCAGGAAATTGTCAATAACTTGGCACCAGAAGCGAATTTTCCAAATTTTTCTACAGATGTAACAACTTCATATAATGAGACATATTTTGTGTAAGTTTCATCGAAAACCGCTGACTTGTTTTCGAGAAATCGCCTGCACAAAATTTTGTCAAAAAAAAGAATAATAATAATAATAATAAGAATAATAATAAGAAACAATAGAATAACTATAAGGACTTCCGTGAAGACGGAAGACCTTAATAATCTTTACCATCAGAATCAGTAGAAGGTCTTCCGTTGGAAACGGAAGACCTTAAAAATGATTTTGTCAAATCTGGCAAATTTTAGACAATAAAAGACATTTATGTCCATCCTGTTACGAAATTTAATTGTAAAGTGCTATTAAAATATTTATCATTTCAATTTTTGTTTATTAAAGGTACTCTATGCTGTTGCAAAACTAAAAATTTTTCATAATTGTAAGAAAAACAAATGATAAAACTTAAATTGGTATATAAATACCAGGATAATTTGTCCCTCCTGTTACAATTTTTGTCCATTCTGTTACAAGAGTGCATGTTTAAATAGTAATGGCACTATTTGAAGCACTAACATATTTCAATATGATTTACGAAGTTTTTTAACATGTGTTATTAAACTTATATTACTTAGAAAAATAAAAGTAATTGTTTTTATTGTTAAAACTCAAGATATGGAGTCCAGGGTTCCGTTTTACAAAAGAACTTACGACTAAGACCAAAAACTTCGGATTATTGTAAAATTTTGCAAAATTAATAATATTCTTTTAAATTGTCTGTGTGAAAATATCTTACCACATTCTTTTTTAAAATGTTTAAAATAATTTTCGATATGATGTTAATTAAAAAGTTATATGAATAATCATACTTGGTCCTAAGACGTAAGTCCTTTTGTAAAACGGGCCCCAGTTTTCCTTACTGTTACCATATTAATGGTAACAGAAATAACAGTAACAGGATGGACGTTTCTCATATAAATCACCCGTTATTTAGTATAACGTACTCTTTTTGCATCATCGAGACATTGACACAATTTCTTTGTAGGTTAGTTAATCTAACTGTTTTAGTAGAATAAACAATTTAAAGAGTACTTGCATATTAAGAAGGTAACAGATATGACATGTTTTCATTATACTATACCAAGAAGACAAACTTATCGACCTTTGAACCCTTTCTTTAATCACTTTCAAATCATGGCGGTCATAAACTTGAGACAACAGAAAATGATTATATATTGTGGATCATGAAAACAGTTCGCAGAAAAGTGAGATAACTTTTATTTTAACATTTTCTTTTTGGTAACAGGAATGACATAAACGCGAGGGACATGTCACTTCCTGAATGTTAAATGCACAATACTAGTATTTAGTGGGCGGCATAAGTAAAACAATCATTTTAAATTAATCTATAAATAAATTCAATGAATATGAGGTGCAAAATTTGTACATATCTTCACATGGTTATTTTTTCCCTTACATTTAAATAAGCACGTTATTACATTTTTGTTAATGTGACATGTTACTGTTAAATTTTACTCGGAATGCATAGAATATCTTTTGATAAAACACCTCGGAGATGATCATAAAATAACTTATAAGCTGTATGACCACGTACATTAACCAATGGGAAAAAACTTTCACTCTAAAAATGATATGTTTTTCCTGTTTTTCTGATCAAAAGATAAAAAAGTGGACTTTTTTTGAAAATGACCCATATCAAGGATTTCCAAGTTGTTAAAAAGAAAGAAAGAACTACGTACGCTAACTCTCGATTCCCGCCTACATTTTACACTTATTTAATTCAATATTAATGACAATTTGACCATTAAATCTTTGTTGAATGAAAAGATGAATTCAATTATTATTGATAAATAATTTTAATACCAATGTAAAATAGTTAATTATCCCTTATTTTGCTCCTTAACAAGGGGGAAAAGACGATATATATTTTTCGTTGAAACTGAGCTTTACACCATCATCGTATTTTAAAATATCTCTGAATGTGGATAAGTGTTCCTTACCTCTTTTCGTATGTTTTAAGCATACGAAATTAAACATATATCATTAATAAAATACTATGTTTTAGTTTTAAACCCCTTTGAAATTGTTGAAAAATTATAACTTTTGTCACTTTTTGGTCATTAAACGTATGTCCCCCTGCCCGTGTAACAAAATAAGCTTTGGCATGAATTTGTGAAATGACAGTCTATATTACCTGTGTAAAGGAATTTTTCTTTCACGGGGGGGGGGGTCTATTAAAAATATTTTCTGTTGATTACTATATTGAAAAACGCGAGTTTTACCAAAATTATAGGGTTATTTCTCTTTGTTTTCCCAAATAAGTAATGTGATAATGGAAATTCATATCAATATGTGATTAAATATAAAGATGGAAAATTATTTAAATATATTAACTTTTGAAAATTGACTTTGAGGTAAGGGGAAGAACAATGCTTTCGTTGTAGTTCTTTCAAAAAAGCGATACCTCTTTTAAATATTATTTTAGTATGTGCCCCTGGATACTTTGGGAAAATTTGTGATACAGTTTGTCCACGTGGAAAATTTGGTGAAGGCTGTGCAGGGGAGTGCACGTGCTCTCCAGAGGATTGTGACCACGTGACCGGATGTCCTCTTATAAGCCAGCTTACAACCACACAGGCAGTTACAGGTAAAAACTAAATGCATTTGTTAATTTAATTAAGCTAGAAAGACTTTTTTTAAATGCAAAATGGTATAAATTTTAAACTTATTCCATTTTATTTATTTCCCCTTTACATCAAGGGCTTCATCTGACAAAAATACATACTTCTACACCATCAGTGTCATCAGGAATAATAATAACTAAGCTTCCTATCTCTACCACAGAGAGTTACAAAATATCAACATCACCAACGCTAAAGCCGTATATAACAATAAAAAGCAGAACAATTTTGTACTCATCAGAGATACAAACAACAGAAATACCTACTGATAGAACTACCGCGGGACAGTTTAACAGTAATTATACAATCCTGGGTGTAGGATTGATATTAGCTATTCTTCTGATAGTTATCATTGTACAGCTTCGATTGAGATCAAAATCTTCACACAAAACAATTTCAAAGGAAGAAGGGGGAGAAAACAATGAAATAAATGTATTGAGTGACTCTTCAAGAAAGCCGTTGGACATCGATATAAAACAGTATAGCAGATTAGAAGAGGATAATTTTAAAGGTCACGTGTATCAGCGTGTTGAGTCTGAGTATCAGGAAATTGAGGAATGTTTAGAAATGGTGGACAATCCAGCTGTGCTCAAAAGTGGTCCTCGGTCAAAAATGGACACGACAAGTGAAAGTAGTTGTTTGGAAAATTATATAGAACCTGTTATTTCAACAGAAACTATTAGAAGACAACGGCATTCGTACATAGAAATATTGGATACAGAAGTGTATACCAGAGATGACAACTTAATTGATAGATCTAATGAAAACTCAAGTAAATCATCGTCTTCATATGATGATGTGATAATCGAAGGTTCCACAGTTTCACCGGAAATAGCTCACAGAGATGACAATACTTATCTTGATGTTCTCTTTGAATGATAAGTATAAAGCCATCAAAGCCTGATGGAAACCATAACAGCCAATTCGCCAAAAGACACACGGTCTCACTTTAAAATTTGAAACTCGTCATAGTAATCTCAATGATTCACCTCTCTGTTATAAAAGTCAATCGTCCATTCCGTTTGTGTTTAAAAAAGCTGTAATTAATAACGTAAATTTTCAAAACTTTCCGTATGTAGAAACTGTACTGTTGTTTATTTTCTGACGTCCCTCTCGAGAATTTTTTACTCATATGGAAAAGAAACTGTATGGAAAAACAATGTAACGATTCCTTAGAATTAAATTGATTTGAACACTACAAGTCCATGTAAGACTTTTTAGTTTCTAATAATAAGATGAAAAGAATATTTTCAATAAAATAATGTTGTCAAAAACTCATAATTTTTGAAAATTTTAAATTGTAAGATTAATGTTAAATTTAACGTTTTTGTTGTAAATCAAGATTTTGATGATTAATATTCATGTTTATTAATGTTTTCTATTATTGGTGTTTTCTGTTTTCTTTTATCTTTTTATATTACATCCTTTTAACAATATCCATTGAAATATTTGTTTATGTAACATTAATTATAATATTATATTTTGTCCTTGTGACTTTTTTCTTTACATGCATGTATGTTTATTGTTTCAGGTCACTGAGAAAAAAAATCATAATCCATATCTGGTAGATATTTTCTTATAGTCTGGTCCTGATTTTTAAAAAGAAGGCTAGAAATAACTTCTAACGGCAAATAATTATTATTTGGTCCAGCATAGTTCTTCAACCTATTTCGAGTATGCTGAGTCCGAAAAAATATGCTGGCCTTCATGAAAATGGCGTTAAAGAGGTCAAAATGGCGATTCAAAATGGCGGACATCCAATTTTTCTAATTTTCTCTTAATGTCCTTCAAAATGGAGAAGTAATGAGTGAATATCTAACTGACTGTAATAAAACTATTAAAATAATAATAATAATAGGTTGCTAACATTAGTAGTTAAACTCAGAAAATTAGTTGTTTCTACACTTAATTCGAATTTTCTATGTTTTTTTTTTTTTTTTTTTTTTTGTCTATTTTTTCTATATTTTTATTTGTTCAGGATTTTACATTTGCAAATATCCATACACTGCGGATTTGTAATTTTCCCCTGTACATCTAAATATTCTACGACTGAATAATGGTGCAGCTGTAAGTTAAAAGTCAAAATGGCGATTCAAAATGGCGGACATTTATCTTTTTCTTCATATTATTTAATTCTCAATGTCGTTTACATAGGACAAAGGATTTGTGAATATCTTACCGAGCGTAGTACAACTATGTTAAATGACAATAAAACACTAATTTGATCACTTTAAATCGAAAAATTTAGTCGTTTAAATTTGAAATGTGTTAATTAGTTCAAAATGGAAATTCAAATGACGTCTTATTCACTCGAATTTCGTAAAATACCAAATCTGCTTAATTCTGGTTCGTTTTGCAGAAAATAAATTACAGTTTGTTTTTTTTTTTTATTCATGAAATAATGTTCAAATAAGCAATGAAAATTAGAGGATAATTTTGTTTATGACTTAGGATATTTATATCACAAAATTTTGTTTAATTACTTCTATATTGTTAAAATATATTTTTGACGACAATCCCGAAGACATTGAACCTATAACCTGTCTCACTATGCTTCTTCATATGAAAAGTACAAGAAATAATTGCTGTTTTGAGGACAATACGAAAATTAAGCTACCCCAAGAGCAGTATTCCTCGAGCATTAACGCGAATGATCATTTAGTTGTTGGAAATTCTTGATCTATTATAGTCCAGTGTAGAAAAAAATAAATGTTTATATTTACGTGCAACATAACTTAGTATGATTTTTAAAATTATTGACCACGACCAATTAGATTGCTAGTATTTGTTACATCTTATAAATCTGAATACATTATAATATCCCAATATAAACATATTTATTAAAAATTATCAGTAAAATATACGTAAACCATACATTTTCTTGATTGTCCAGCTCTGATTCTGTGTCCCTACATTTGCATTTTGTTATTCTCAGTCAAAAATTCTACTGCATTCTCAAATATTTCATGCTGTGAACGGTCATCCTTCTTCAATTTTGTATTGAACAGTGTTTATAAATTTAAAAATTGTGAAATGTACAAAATCTGAAAGAAGAAAATGTCTGTGTTCAATACCCCCTTTACACAACCTTGTAAAGTTCTTGAAGTGTTCAAGAAAATTTTGTTGTCAAGAGAGTGTTGACTAGATCGAAATCAAGAATGGCTTAGGCCTATTGGTACGAAAGCTTGTAAGTGATATGAATCATGAGAAATCTGCAGGCACTCTTAAATTGCATAATTTTACATCTTTTCTCACCAAAATATGCACACAATGTGATTCCAGATGATAAGGTTTGAGAATTTTCTTGCTAATAGAATCACCCTTCTACCTAAAAGAAAACAAATCTATATGAGGTCACAAGGTCACAAAATAAAGAGCTACATGACTTAAATATCAGAGATTTTTTATACCCCCCCCCCCCTGCATGAAAAGCGGGAGGGTATAGAGTAATCGGTATGTCCGTCCGTCTGTTACGCTTTGGGGTACCCATCTCTTATCTGCAACTCCTCTCATACCACTGAATGAAATTAGATAAAAATTTCACAGAATCTTTATAACATATTGCCATTGTGATCTCATATTTTACTTTTTGATCCGATACATATTTTGGGTTTCCCAAAGCAAAACAAGGACACAGTCATTATATTCATATGGGAGACAGGGGTATCATTTAGTGAGCTAATTCCTCACAGTACCTCTAGTTCATTTTGCATAAGGTTTTGGAAACAAAATAGACTTTTAACATTTCAACATAATGTATTGTTCCTGAGTGTTGGTTGATTAATTGTATATTGTTTAACGCCGAGTCAGCAATTTTTCAGCCATGTTTCGGCGGACTATCAGTTTAAATAGTCGGTTTTTGAAGGATTTTGGTTTCTCTGGCGGGCCCCAGTGAGCTTTCTCTTTTTAGATCTACAGAGGAACGATCTTTTACGTGCCAAGGGGGTTGTCATCCTTGACACATGGCACCATTTAACTTCAGTGTTGAAAGTACCAAAATTCCGAAGACAGACTGAAACATATAGCAAATAAAGCTGGAAAAGAAGATGTTAGGAGATAACACTAAGTTCTTATAAATGCTAATCAGCTAGAAAAAAGTGTTCGATGAAATCGGAAAAGAATTTCTTCAGCTATATTTGATGGTGTGCAGAGGAATTTAAAGGTGGAATTGCGAGTTGATGAAAGGATTCAGGAGTGATTTTAGGTGGACGTGGGGCTCAAAGGCTTTTAAATACGGTCAAGGGGAAAATTTTGAAACTCTTAAGTCGAGTTAGTTTTAACTATTTCCAGAAAAAAATGAATCTTTTCAAGTATGTTTTGTTTGTTCATATTTAATGGACTAATCAATATACAATATATACAATATATATAAAAAACAAACTGTAATTTATTTTTCTGTAAAACGACCCAGAGTTAAGCAATTTCTACGAAATTCGAATGTATAAGACGTTATTTGAATTGCCATTTTGAGCTAATTAACACATTTCTAATTTAAACGACTAAATTTTCCGATTTAAAGTGATCAAATTAGTGTTTTATTGTCATTTAACATAGTTGTACTACGCTCGGTAAGATATTTACTAATCCTTTCTCCTTGGTAAACGACATTAAGAAATAATTTGAAAAAAAAATGAATATCATCCATTTTGAATCTCCATTTAGACTATTAACTTACAGCTGCACCATCATTCAGTTGTAGAATAGTGAGATGCAGAGAGAGAGAAAAAACAAATCCGAAGTGTATGGATATTTGCATAAGTTAAATCCTGAACAAAGCAGAATATAGAACATTAGCCAAAAAATCAGAGAAAATTCCAATTAAGTGTAGGAACAACTAAATGTTCTAAGTTAAACTAATAATGCTAGCATTCTATTATCATTTTTAAACTTGTATTACATTCAGTGAGATATTCACACATTATTCCTCCTTTTTGAACGATTTTTAATGAAAATTAGAAAAATTGGATGTCCGCCATTTTAAATCGCCATTTTGACCTCTTTAACGCCATTTTCATGAAGGCCAGCATATTTTTTCGGACTCAGCATACTCGAAATAGGTTAAAAAACTATGCTGGACCAAATAATAATTATTTGCTGTTAGAAGTATTTTTTTTCTATAAATCGGACCAGACTATAATGGAAAAAACTTTAATCTGCTATTTCACACAAAGATGGCCTAGGCATGAGGGTGTGTTATGACCTTGAGCCGAGGTCATTTAAGTTTAACATCAGAGAAAATTTCATAAATCAATTCTGCTCCATATCTTTCTTATTGAAAAACGTGGTAAGTTTATGTTTTACACCAAAATTGCAATTGTTGATATTCTGAATGTGTGTCATGTCCTTGACCAAATGTCATTTGTGCAAGTATAAGGTCTTCGAAAGAAAATTTGATAATTTCTGCAAGGTCCATATCTTTCTTATGGATAAACTTGGAGGGATCCGTTTTACACAAAGATTGCTTAAGACCTGAGAGTGTGTCATGACTTTAGGACACAAGGTCATTTGTGCGCATTTTTAAGGACACTGGCAGAAACGAATCATAATTCATGCCTAGTCCATATCTTTTAAATAGATAAACATGGCGATTTCCTATTTCACACCAAGATTGCTTATGACTGAGGGTGTGTCGTGAGTTTTAACATAGGTCATTAATGCAAGTTCAAGGTCACTGATAAAAAAGTTTATAAGTTGTGTCTGGTCTTTATCTTTATTGTTTATTTATTTTTTTTAAGCTGCACATTTATTTCATTCATGAAAAAATATGATGAGCTGTTGTTTTTCCACTTAAACGTTTAAATATTTCTCTCTTCTCCTATAGCCATTAAATAATCATAATTTGCCACCTTCCCTGAAAAACCTGGGGGAGGGTTCTTCGT